CTCAATCGTCCAAAATGCTATGTTAAAAAATCCTTTTTTACTGGGGTAACTATTTTAATTGATAATAATTAGTGAATTTGTATTTAAAATTCGCAAACGTTTAAGAACAGTTGATAAGGAATGGTTTAGCATGTTTGAATTTACCTAATAATGTGACAGAAAATTTAGAGACAGGGGAGGATTTGGAAACTGCTCTTTCTTTTTAAAAAGAACTGCATGCTAATCTAGCGGTGGTGGACAAGGCTATAAAAAATGTTGTTGCAAGGCAACAAAAGATCAATGCTCCACAAAACGTTGTTCTTGCTTCAAGGCAAATGTAAAATGAGGTTCACCCAATAAACAAAAACTAATTGAAATAAATTAAAAAGAATTCACAAAGAGTTTCAATGAATCCTGCTTTGTGACAAATACGAATTGGAGCTATGTTGCAATTTTCCTGAATTCGTCAAACTGTATTGAACTTCCAAACCTTCTATTCATACTAATTCAATGGACAAGTTTTTGGGCCTTTAATTTTTTTTAATTCGTCAGCACGAATTCAATGCATGCCTTGGTCATTTCTTTCGAATGCGAATTCGTTTGCACAACTTCAGGCAAATTGAATCGAATTCAATCGAATATACAAAGAGACTGAATCCCGCTTTCTACCAAAAATCTTAATTCATTTCAATCCGTTTAAATTAGTTTTTTTTGCTGGGCACGGTTCCACAATTCAAATTAGTGTTCTAATAAATAAAGACGGCCCAGGCGCGAAGTGACGCCGAGTTCAGGCTTTATAAAGATTGGCCGAGCATTGGTCAACATTGATTGAGCATGAGTGAATTAGCGAGAGCAGGAATGATCGAAGCTTTAATGTAACACCGATTCCAGACTGCAGCGCGAGCCTTGATTCAGCATTGGACATCAATGCTCAATCAATGCTGCGGACGCCTAACGCAGGACTGAAACAAGACTGCTTCCACTGTTCCCAAATTTACTCGTTTCTCACGTTTATTCAATATAATGTGAATATATGAATTATTAATAATAATAATAAATATTATTGTTATTATTTTAATTCATGTGCGTATATGTACATATATATTTAATGACAATAAGTTATTATTTGTAATAATTATATTATTTTCATATAAATAAGAATATATTACTAACAATAAATATCATTTGAATAGTAATTTTAAAAAAATAATTTTAAAAAGACAATTTTTCTGTTAATCGTTACATTTTTTTCTTGATTTTTAACATACTTTTAACATTATTTATAAACATGTTCACATTTTTTATTCACGACACAACACACAATTTTATTTTTTTATATAAACGCTTATAACAAAGAATGAAAAATATTCGCTCGCATGTGGGATCGAAACTCACGCACCCCGCCCCCCTAACGCATACCGGAAGTTGTCAACGCACGCATTTAAACCGCTCGGCCACAGAAGGCTGGAAGGCTTCTCGCCTAATCTACTATATCAATGCCAGTGCCGTCACTCAGTATGGGACACCAATGTTCGTCCCATGCTCGATTCAAGACTCGGTCAATCTTGTTACAATATTCAGTTCCTTTATTGCCGTGTGCACTGTACAATATTAAATATAAATATTTATAAATTATTTAATATTAAAATATTTTTTCTGATAATTTTATAAGTTAAATTATATATTATTTTTTTTCTCGCACAGTGTCAAATTATTATTTTCAAAGTTCAAGAGTTTCGTTTATCTGTAAAATTTTCAGTGAAAAAAATGTTCATTAGGTAGTAGTAAATATTTATGCCTAGTAGTTTTACACTAGGATTAACTGTTTACTGAATATTATCAAAAATATATTTTTCGTCAAACGCGCGCGACTAAACACAAATAACCTTGAGACGTTGCGATTGTCGTGCTCCCACCATCCCATCTACTCAATACACTCCCCGCCTGTGACGTCATGAGGGGAAAGCATTGAGTAGATGGGATGGTGGGAGCACGACAATCGCAACGTCTCAAGGTTATTTGTGTTTAGTCGCGCGCGTTTGACGAAAAATATATTTTTGATAATATTCAGTAAACAGTTAAACCTAGTGTAAAACTACTATAGGCATAAATATTTATTACTACCTAATGAGCATTTTTTTCACTGAAAATTTTTCAGATAAACGAAACTCTTGAACTTTGAAATAATAATTTGACTCTGTGCAAGAAAAAAAATAATATATAATAATTTAACTTTATTGATATGAATCTTATGTAATTAATATAAATATTATACACTAAATAAATATTAATATTTATTTACCAATTGATATCTTAATAATAATAATAATAATACTTATTATAATATATATATATATATTATATATTATATATTATATATATATATTATATATATATTATATATTATATATATATATATATTATATTAATAATAAGAATAATAATTTTTAAATAGTATAAAAAATTACTAAAAAATATCAGAAATAATATTTTAATATTAAATAATTTATAAATATTTATATCTAATTTATATCTAATATTGGTAAGTGCACACGGTAATAAATAAACTATCAAGATTGATTCAAGATTGAATAAAGACTGGATGTTGAAGCTCCACTCACGAAGATTGACCGAGTGTTAAATCGAGCATGGGACGAACATTGGTGTCCCATGCTGAACCAATATTGAGTGACAATGATATAAAGACTGCTTCAACTCTGGGTTACCCACGCTGGGCGTTCAAGACTCAGTCAAGTTTCAACCCATCGTCAGCACTGGTCTTTCGCGCCTGGGAGGACTAAAAATATAAAACGTAAAAAATTAACCATTTCAAAAAAAATTTGACATAACTTGAATTATCAGAAGCTTGATATATAAATGAAATGTATTATTAATTATTATTTATTAATAAATTTAACCTTTTTATTACATATCTCATTACTTGTATTATTATTATGGTAATTCACCTAAGTCAATTACACATCGTAGATGCTGATGCGAGTCGTCTTAATGCCGAACTTGCATTGGGCAGAAGGCCTACTGCCGGATTCTTCTATTTGCCTACGACATATATACTATATACTATTACTACGCCACATATCCCTATTGAAAATCCCCATATGGGAAACCACATGGGATCCTATGTCAAAAACCATGTAAAACCCTACTTCCATGAAGGAAATCACATGGTTTACCATGTGGTTTCCCATGTCAAATCATATGGGAAATTGAGACAGGATTTTTAGATAGGAATAATCATAGGAAATTTAAACAGTTTGTCTACACGGAAACAACTGCATGGTTGGGTCAACCATATATATTGAAAAATACGGGATATCCATATTTAAGGTTATCACATCCATTTTTATGGATACCACATCCATTTCTTTAGTTAACACATCCATAGAAATGGGTGTGATAACCGTAAGTATGGATATCCCGTATTTTTCAATATATATATGGTTGTCCCAACCATGCAGTTTTTTCCGTGTATGCATAAAACCATATCAAATCCCACATGAAATCCTGCATGTTTTTCCCAGTCAAATCCTAAACTAAATCCCATGTGAAAAACAGTATCATTTATTTATAATTATTTTCCCAAGTCAATCCCCAAGTAAAATCCTTTTTCCTTTTCTTTTAAATTTTCCCATGTCAAATCCTAAACCAAATCCCATGTTAAAAACATTATCCGCCTTACTGAGTATCCCTACATGGGAATCCACTTGGAATTTTACAAGGGATTTCACATAGGATTTTATATGGGAATTGACATAGGATTTCATGCAAGATTTCACCTAGGATTTAATATGAGATATCACATAGTATTTTATTAAAGATCCAATGAAGAAATTTTCAAAGGATTAAAAATTATTTAATAAAAAATTAAATAATAAATAGTATTAGTGTTACAAGTCATCAAAAAAGTAAAAAATCGATAATTTGAAACACGTCCTCTGTGCTACAGGTTCTCAGCTCTTATATACTTCCAGGATCGTCTCAACAGCGAGAGAAGTCACTTTCGCCACCTAGCGGTGAAAGTATAGGAGCGACAGTAATCTTTAACATTACTAAGGAAACCATGTGGAATACCACGTAGGATTCCATGTGGTTTCCTATGTGGGGATTTACATGGGATTTTACTTAGGAATTTACGCAGAAATAAATTCCCAAATGAATTCCTAAGTAAAATCCCATGTAAATCCCCACATAGGAAACCACATGGAATCCTACGTGGTATTCCACATGGTTTCCTTAGTAATGTTAAAGATTACTGTCGCTCCTATACTTTCACCGCTAGGTGGCGAAAGTGACTTCTCTCGCTGTTGAGACGATCCTGGAAGTATATAAGAGCTGAGAACCTGTAGCACAGAGGACGTGTTTCAAATTATCGATTTTTTTACTTTTTTGATGACTTGTAACACTAATACTATTTATTATTTAATTTTTTATTAAATAATTTTTAATCCTTTGAAAATTTCTTCATTGGATCTTTAATAAAATACTATGTGATATCTCATATTAAATCCTAGGTGAAATCTTGCATGAAATCCTATGTCAATTCCCATATAAAATCCTATGTGAAATCCCTTGTAAAATTCCAAGTGGATTCCCATGTAGGGATACTCAATAAGGCGGATAATGTTTTTAACATGGGATTTGGTTTAGGATTTGACTGGGAAAAACATGCATGATTTCATGTGGGATTTGATATGGTTTTATGCATAGACAAACTGTTCAAATCTCTTATGATTATTCCTATCTAAAATCCTGTCTCAATTTCCCATATGATTTGACATGGGAAACCACATGGTAAACCATGTGAAAAACTATGTGGTTTCCCATTTGGAGATTTTTAATAGGGATACTATTTATTTTCACCAATGATTCAAAAACAGTTTGACAATTATATCCATATCATGGACTTGAAATTGTAACATATTGGTATGCTTATATACAAAACAACATTTTATTTTCAAACTGTGTTATTAAACGTAAATTTCATGTTTTCATTTTTACAGTTTTGTATGCATTGATCAATAATGCAGGATTAATGATAATTGGAGACTTTGAATGGCAAACAGATGATCAAATGTTGCAACAAGTTAACGTTAATGTTATAGGAACAATGAGAATAACGAGGGCAATATTACCTATGCTTAGAGCTGACAAAGGTAGAATTATTTTTATTTCAAGCCATTGCACAGTAGAACCATTACCATCTTTTTCTATTTATGGTGCAACAAAAAATAGTATTCGCACTTGGGCCTCTGCTTTAAGAGTCGAATTAAATGATCAAGGGATTAAAGTTGTTTGCTTTGCACCAGGTGAGTTTAAATAATTTACTTTAACATAGGTTATCTTGATATGTTAACAATATTATATATGAAATTTTTATAAGGAATTAAAATGATAAGTCGACTGTCATCTAAAATTTCGACTTGTGACGAGTCACAGTGGTCTGAAACACGATTCTAGCTGGACAAAACAATTTATTCAAAGACGCTGCTGTGAAAATTTACACCATATGGTTCTAGCTGTTTTTGAGGTTGCTGATTACGAATCTGAAGTCAGATTCGAAAAATTCAAAATGGCGGACCCAATATGTGAAACATAAAAATAAAAAATTAGTATTTTTTAATAAAACATAATATTTAAGGGTTTTCGGGGTCACTGAATATGAATCTGAAATCAGATTTCAATAATTTGAAATGGTGGACCCAATATGGCGGACATAAAAATGAAAAATTAGTGTATTTTAATAAAACATAGTACACTGAGAAAACTGGAGAGTCAAATTCAGAGGTTTAAAAAGTATATGTTTCCTTTGCTTATGAAGAGAGTTAAATAGTCCTCCTAAAATAAATTTTGAATTGATAATGAAAATATACTTGTATATTCTCTCCTATTATACCTGAGGGTTAAAAGTTGCGCAGAAAATGTGTACGATCTGATGCGCGCGAATTTATTTTTGTGACATTTTATATGTATTTAATTTAATAGGTTAGGTTGCCATATATTTATTCATTTCGCGCCGGGTGAAGAAGGGATTTCTCAAGATGGTTAATTTGTCTCTCTGTTATAAAAAAAATGGCACGAATATCTGTCAATGGTATATTTGAATATTTAGATTGTTATCCAATAGTCAACTCTCAAATACGAAATCTGGAACGATTAGTCCCTCCAGATGTTTAGTCCAATCCTCCAGTTTTCTCAGTGTATTTAAGGGTTTTTGGGATCACTGAATACGAATGTGGAGTTAGAATAAAAAAATTCTAAATGGCGGACATCTTAATTAAAATATTTTTTACATTTTAATAGAACGGGGTGCTTAAATGCTTTTTGTATGATTACGAATTTTGAATCTAAAATCCGAATTTAAAAACAGATATTTATTTGTACAGACTTTTAAAGAAAAATGTGGTTTGAAATTGTAATATCAGATAATTAATGCTGTAAATTAAAATATTAATTAATATTAATTAATTATTATTATTAATAATTATACTCAGTGCCAGACTTAGACGTTTAGCGCCCTTGTGCGAAATTTCGATAGCGCCCCTTCTAAGGCGAGGTTTTGCCTAATTTTTGGATAATTTCGTTTTTTACAAATTTTAATATCATTACACAGGACCACAAAATTTTTTTAAAGGAAGTATTAACCGGACCTTGTTTTTTATGTTTTTAGGTCGCTGAATTCGAATCCGAACTCAGATTTCCGCCATCATGTCGAGTTTCTTCACAAATTAATAAAATTCGAAAAAACTGACTGTAAACAAGATATAAATAAAAATAAGCGCAGTAGATTCTATTTAAAAACAACTTTAACACACTGAAAAAATATTATATAATGTTAAACAATCAAAGAAAGTCGTAAATATTCAAAAATTAAGATGGCGCGGATCCAATATAGCGTCGATTTTTTTAAAATTCACCCAATTCAGTAGATAGACAGGGAGCGTTCTGGACCAAGATTCCTGCACCGACATGTTACCGACATTTTTAGCCCAGACTCAAACCACTTAGCCAAGACTCAATCCATTGGGGGGGGGGATATTCTGACTGTTATGCTGAGCCGGATATGACGTCATACTTCCTAGAATTTTTGGAGTGGGGGGATATTGAGATCATGATGCAAATGTGATTCTTGGAATTTATCTAATTTCTTGGAATTATAAAACAATCCTAGAATTTTCCATAGGGGTTGATGACTCAGAATTTTGCAATTTTTTATTGGAATTTACCGTTTTTGTTTTTTTACAGGGTGCATTCTTTAACGATGACACATAATTTCTTTGTTTCTCGCAAAATGGGGTTGATGACTCATTATCATTGGTATTTCCTGTTTTTGTTTTTTACAGGGTGCATTCTTTAACGATGACACATAATTTCTTTGTTTCTCGCAAAATGGGGTTGATGACTCATTATCATTGGTATTTCCTGTTTTTGTTTTTTGCAGGGTGCATTCTTTAACGATGACACATAATTTCTTTGTTTCTCGCAAAATAGGGGTTGATGACTCATTATCATTGGAATTTCCTGTTTTTGTTTTTTACATGGTGCATTCTTTATCGATGACATAATTTCTTTGTTTCTCGCAAAATAGGGGTTGATGACTCAGAGTTTTGGAATTTTTTATTGATGACTCATTATCATTGGTATTTCCTGTTTTTGTTTTTTACCACAATTCTAAGAAAACCATAATTAACTTGAAATAAAATTAGTCATAATTTGTGTATATAAAGAAGGCAATTTTTCTTAACAAAATCATTCCTGCAGTTTAAGTTGTTCAATCAACATATCAGAAAAACATCGTGAAATTCAAGTGCGCTTAAAAAATCTCGTTTTAAAAAAATCGCTATAGTTAAAAGTTCAATTTTAGTCTGATCGGAGTTAATCATTGTAGTGAAAAAAATTGACAGTTTCAATACAAGTGATAAAAATGAATTTGGATAAATTAAATGCAGCAATTAAAGTTATGGAAACTGATAAAACCTCTAACTATTGTAAAGATTTTGTGAAAATTATGAACAATGCTTTTAAAACATTAAGTAAAAAAACTACAACAGAGGAATTAAATTTTTGGATAAATAATAGTGTAAAAAACATTAGATTACTGAATAAATTGTTAAGAAATGGATCTGTGTCATGTGGAGAGAAAAAAAAGATTTTGTCAACTATTGGACTATTGAAAGCAAATAGCAGAAAGTTTAAGAAACTAAGAAGAACAGGAACTGGTTTATTTAAAAAGGATGAGAGATGGATCAGGTGGGAAGAATTAGAGAATGCTTTCGAGAATAGAATTAGAACAGGTGTTGTTATTAATTTAAAACATAAAAATATGGACAGTTTTCTCAGTGATGCAAAGAAAATGATTATTTCTCGATTAAAAAATGCATTTAAAAAGGTGGGAAACATGAAAGTTAATGTTGTTCTTGCGGCAAATTATACTGTTTTAGAAGAAGGTGAGGAAATTGATGATATTAAATATTTCAATACTAGAAATTCAAAAATTTTAGAATCAACGAACTTTGATGAATGGTTTGATCATAAAATTCGTGAAAAACTTTTTGTTAAGATTGATGATTTTCAACAAAAAAAGTCAGGTTGGTCTTTAAATGAAATTATAAATTTAAGTGTTAATATAAATAAATATGTGCCTCTTGCGGCTGGATACTCAACTTTTATAAGAATGCCAAAATTTATAATTGATAAAAAAGCTGTTATTAATGTTATAAATAATGACAAATTCTGTTTTTTATGGTCAATAATTGCACAACGTTATCCAGCTAATAGTCACGTTGATCGTACAAGTTCATATCCCCACTTTAAAGATACTGATTTAAAGTTTGATGATTTTGAATTCCCCATTTCTCTCAGCGATATTCCAAAATTTGAAAAATTAAACAATTTAAATATTAATGTGTACGGAATTGATAAAAGCAGTAATAAAAAGAATGAAATTATTCCACTTTATTTAAGTAAAAACAAATCAAATGAACGTACTTATCACTTATTAATGATTGAAAATACAGAACTTGATTTAGACGATGATGATGATAATAATAATTTTCAAAATAACAAAGTTTATCATTTTGCATTAATCAATAATTTATCTCGTTTAGTAAAATCTTAAATAACAAAAGATCATAATCGAACCATACTTTGTGATAGATGTTTATGCCATTTTAAATATGAAAAATCATTTAATAATCATAAAATTGATTGTGATAAAATAAACATGTGTCGAGTAATTTTGCCTAATGAAGAGGATAAAATTTTAAAATTTAAAAATTACAGAAATAAAGAAAGTGTTCCCTTTGTCGTGTATGCTGACACTGAAAGTCTCTTAGAACCTATAGCAAGTACACACACAAACACATCAACATACCAAAAACATATCCCGACAAGTTTTGCTTTCTATGTACATTGCAATTTTAATGAATCTCTTTCAGAATTTAAATCATATCGAGGTCCAGATTGTGTTGATTGGTTCATGGCTGAATTAGAACAATTGGCTGAAAAAGCAAATACTTATTTTACAAATATTATTCCAATGGAAAATTTAACTATTTTACAACAAATTCAATTTGACACAGCAACAATTTGTCATATTTGTGAAAAACCTTTTGAAAATGATGACATTAAACACCGCGATCATTGTCATTTCACGGGAAAATATCGTGGTCCAGCACATCAAGGTTGCAATGTAAATTATAAAGATTCGCATGTTGTTCCCATAATTTTTCACAACTTGTCAGGATATGATGCACATTTCATTATTAAAGCTTTAGCAACGTCTTTTGAGGGTGAAATGAAACTGTTACCAATAAACAAAGAAAAGTACATTTCATTTTCAAAATATGTGAAGGGTACCAAAGTAGTATTAAGATTTCTTGATTCATTTAGATTTATGCCCAGCAGTTTAGACAAATTATCCTCCTATCTTGAAAATGATGAGAAAAAAATTACTAAAAAGTATTGTAAAAATATGAACGAGTTTAATTTATTGACAAGAAAAGGAATATTTCCTTACGAATATGTTAGTAGCTGGGAAAAATTAGAAGAAGGTCAATTGCCAGTAAAAGACTATTTCTACTCTAAATTAAATGACGCTCATATTTCAGACGAAGACTATGAACATGCTTGTAACGTATGGAAAACGTTTAATTTAAAAACAATAGGAGAATACTCTGACTTGTATTTACAGACTGACGTTCTACTACTTGCCGACATTTTTGAAAATTTTAGAAAAACATGCTTTACAACTTATAACTTGGACGCGTTACATTACTATACTGCCCCAGGACTGGCATTTGACGCTATG